CCGAAATTGATTGCATACTTATCGGCGTATGCGTCTAATATGCGGTAGAACTTTTATGCAGACTTTCGGGAATAGCTAAGTGCTTTGGGAAGCACTGAGTACTATTTTTGTATATGTATGTGTGTATGTATATTTGCTATGTTTGCTTATAGTTGGGTAAAAGCCTACTACCGGTCCTTTAAATGTGATTGAAAGGTTTGACAGAAATAAATCTCTATTCACAACTTCAAAACTGCTCACCCGAGCAATTCAACTCTTTCCAAGTGTTGTCGGTATTGTTGTTCTTGCTGCTGCTATTTAAATGAACAGAATAACTTCAAAAGTCACGCAATCTCAGCTAAAGTTTGAAAAGGCTAACAAAAGCAAAAACAAAAACAAAACTGCACGCATAACGGTTACGGCAGTAAAATGCCTGCTGTGCGCTGTATTGCTTTGTTGCAACTATGTGTGCGTGTGGATATGTGCATTTCAGCCAACACTTACGGGTCACTTGAAATGCTTTTCACACAAATGAAAACATAACCTTCTTTATTTCGATATTTGTGAGTTTATGTGCAGCTACGCCATACCCAGCTGTGCGTTGTTTTTAGCATTTAAATTGTTTAGTGTTTTGGTGATGGTCCTTTTCTTTAATGGTGCTTTGACAGATCTACACCTGTACAAATGTGAGCGAAACATTTTTCAACCCAATCAAAATCACCAGAGTGCGTCATTCTTTATTACCTCGGCTGTCTTGCTTACGGATATGAGTATAAAAGAACATGAAAAGCAATTTAAAAAGGAATATTTATAAAAATGTGAACAAAATGTGTCAAGCGCAAATAAATTGCGTTAGAAAAAGGTTAAAAAAATTAAAAAAAAAATTCGAAGAAATTAAAAGTCTGTTATTAATATTTTGCAAATTAGAAAATAAGCTACGAAGAAACAAAAATTAAATTAAAAATAATGAAAAAAATACAAAACCGAAAGTAATAAGCCGTAGCTAAAATACCCTTCAAAAATATAAAAGTTGCCCTACAAGAATTCGATTGCGATTGGTCAGCTTGTATGGCTATGCTCTACTGGTCCGATTTGAAACATTTCTACAGATATTGTGCCATTGCCTTGAATATTAATCCCTACCATATCCTTTGAACATATCTCGTCAAATCAAAAAGTTTTTCTTACAAGAATTTTATGTTGATCGTTCAGTTTGTATAGCAGCCATATACTATAGTAGTTCGAAATAAAAAAAGAATTTATATATTCTAGCATTTCCTTTAGAATATATCTATGCCCAATTTCGTAAAGATATCGCGTCAAAGATAAAAGTTTTTCATACGAGAACATGATTTTTTTTCAACAATTAAGCTGCTACTTAGAGAGCAAAGGACGTGTGCAAGATGTTAGATCGACATCTCAAAATCTAAAGGATTAGTTGAGTATATACAACAAATAAACGGGCAGACAGACGGACACGGCTAAATCGACTCAGCTCATCACGCTGATCATTTCTATATACTTGTATATATTATATATAAATATATCTTTTATGGGGTTTCCGACGTTTCTTCTGGATGTTACAAACTGAAGGCATCCTATTCTGGCCATAAAAATATGAAGATATAAAAAAGTTTTCTTTCCACGAATACACAAAAAATTGTTATAATTTTAGAAAAATTTAGAAATTCAAAGAAATTCAAAAATACGAGATTTCAATAAAGTTCAAAGTTCAATTAGAAAGTGCGAAAAAAAACTGTCCCGATTCCATATAAGTGATTATAAACATTTTTTATTGTACACACATATATTAGGGATGGTAAAAAGATCGACTTTTTTTTCGCTTGGTATTCTGAAAAAAGGCGCTTGAATTCTTCTAAGAAAGTTGAAAAAAATATCTCGTTTCACAGATTTTTTAGAACAGTGGTTGTTCTATTAAAAACCCTGTACTATTTTTTGTAATCCTAACCGTTTAACAGATTTTAACCGTTGAAGTTTGAACATTTCAAGTCATAAAAATATTCATTATTTTTTACCACCCTAGTATTTATATATACAAAAACAACAAAAAACGTTGACATCAAAAATTTTTCAACTTTTAGCAGAAAACAGAAGAATAAATATTTAGCTAATGCGGAAATAAAACAAAGTTCCATTTATATGGTCGTCATTGTACTTATACCACATGCACACACATTCAAACATTCACACTCACACCCGGCAGCTTTTGGCATTAATGAAAATCTGCTGACGGGCGAAAAAAGTTGCAATACTAATAAAAACAAGCCAAAAACCAATACAAAAAAAATCTATCAAAACTCTAACAACAACAACAGCTACCAGTAGAGTCGCCTGACAGCAAGCTGGCAAGCAAAGCAACTAGACAACGCTTGACAATAACAACTGTTTAAACAAACTAAAAAGCAATCTAGCGTTTTGGCGGCATTTTGATGTATAAAAATTGGCTGTGGGTGAAAAAGTGGCGGCGAGTGGCCGTTGGCTTCCGTCCATCAAGCATTGTGGTGTGTATGAATTGGGCAGGTGCTAGCGGCTGAATGGGTTCATTAAAGCGGAAGAGGTGTGAATTAATGTAGAGCGACAATTTATAGTAATAAAGTGAGGTGTTTTTATGGCAAAAATGGCAAATAAAGGAATTTTAATCGGCTAAAATAGAACGGGATTTGGTAGAACAATTCTTTAAAGCTGTAGCATGCATGATGATTGATTTTTAGTGGTTTCTGTTAGCAGAAATATATAGTTGCATATTAAAAATAAGAAAAAAAAAACATTAACTTGAGTTTCAGTTGTTTGTATCAACTTTATTGATCCGATCTGAATAATTTCTTCAGAGATTACACTATTGCCTTGGACAATAATCTATGCCAAATTTCTTCAATATATCAATTTAAATGAAAAAGTTAGTCATACTTAATTCCGATCGTTTAGTTTATACGGCGACTATATACCATAGTGGTGCGATATCGGCGCTTCCGTGTGAAAATTTTCCGATCGATATCTTAAAAACTGAGTTATTGCAATTATTTCTCTAAGGAAAATGATTGTTAGAAAAAAATATTTTTGGAAATATTTTAATTTTTTCGACATCCACCTAGTAGACGCCCATTGCTTTCAAGTCAAGTCGTTCGAGACTTTCAAAATCGGCTTGGAAAATGTACGCAATTCAATGAGAACGCTTTTTAACTCGAGAAAACAAGCTTTAATTGAAGATAGCAAAAAGCACTTCGAACAAAGTACTCGCCGGCGGTGTGATTATATGAATCATAATAAGCAGATTTTTTCTCCATCGAAGCGATTTATATTCAATTAAAAATGCACAAAAAAACTCGGTACAATTATTGTGTGCGACCCTTCCACAACAACAACAAATAAAATGTGCAAGAGTCGAAATGAGTGAAAATTTCAAAAAAACAAATTCCGCAGGCAATTACTTGTAAAATCAGCAAAAATCAAGCAATAAATGAGAGTGAATATTTTCTAGAGTACACAGCACACATAAATACATGAATACATACATACAAACAGCATTAAAAAACCCGAGCTTATAAAGTTATTGTATAGTTAGGAAAAAATTGTTGCGAAAATAATAAAGCTGCTTGACCTTTGTGTGCACATTGTGCGAGTTCGCCGAATGCTGACGCCGTAAAAACAACCGCTGCGTGAAAACAGGTTCACGCAACAGCTGATGCCGTGGCGCACACACACATACATACTCGTACACGCTGTAGAATGGCTGGTCAAGAGCGGCAGCGTGTAGTAAAGTAGTAAGCGGCAGCAGCGGTTTAGCTGCTGATGACTAACAAAGCGATTTTTGAAGTACAGCGAAGAAGAAAAAACGTGCAAAATAAACAAAAAATTAAAAAAAAAACCCTTAAGATAAAAATGGGTAAAAAAAAAAAAAATTGCAAGGCAAAGCATTTTAACCAATCCGCCACTAAGCGGCTAATGCGACTCTGCGGCAACAGTTTATGCTTGCATCTGTGCAATTTAAGGCGGCCTTTCCGAGGCAATTAGATGGCCGGCACAAGTGCGCATAGCTTTCAAACTTTGCTTTTGCTGTTGTTTTGCATTTTACTATTTTTCCTCTTCGGTATTTTTCTAGAGCACTCTACAGTTGTTTCCGTAGAAGCGGTAAGTAATGCTACTCTCCATCTGTCCCTTGTGATGTCCAATCACGCTCCAAGGAAAGAATCCAATCTTGCTCTATTACTCCCAATTATGCTACTGTCTAAAATTCCGTTTCACTTTCGCAAGCTACAAGTCTTTTAAAAGATTATTCTTGCGTGAGTTTGAAACGCTTAAGGAAATAATTGCAAAACGCTTTGGTCATGGATATGGTACGTTTATAAATCCAACTATGTCAAAGTAGAAGGTTTTGGTCACGGACATGACTCGTCTAATATTCAGCTACTTGGAAGTAGCTATGAATATGCAGATGATAGAGGCAGTGAACTGTAAATTTTTTTCCCCATAATCCACGATATTTTACCGATCTTTTAAAAAATCGATCCCCGGAATGATTGATCTCTCGGTGGCTCGCTAAAGCGGTTAGTCTTCGGTACTTAATATAAAAACTCCGAATTCATTTATTCTAAAAAATTGCTGCTAAAATCAAACTGTTCCTAGGCGGCTTAAAGCCGGTTCATATACAGAAATTGAAAAAGAAGGGAAAACTGTGAAAAATTAATTAATTTTTTCTTTAAAATGCTATATTTACCTAAACTAGTAGTTTTGTGAACATTTTAGTATATCGAAATTGACACTGTCCTGTAGTCGTTTCAATTTTATTTTTGAATAGAATCAAAGTGTGGAATTATTTTTTTGCCACTTTTTGGTAATTAAACTGGGTTTTTGCGTAAATGGTTTTATTTCTTAACTATTTCTTGGTATTATGTTGCGTAAAAACCTCTCAGACTTTGAAATTTCTGAGATCTATGACCACGGCTCGGTACATTATGTCCAAGTTTCGTCCAGGTTATCGATAGCAAATGAAAACTTACTAATTAAAGAGAGCATATTAATTTATTTATTTAGTTCGCTAGTTAGTATCTTAAAAACTATGGAATGTTAAATCTTAAATTTCAATTGCAGTCGGGTTGTTCATGGCTAACCCAAAATCTGTAGTATTAACCAACTAACTCTTGTCGCTTACTTTACACAGACAGAGTCTTCTAAGTCACTACAACTTTCATCGCTGGATTTACTTTCCTGGTAATTTTTATGACAATTTCCTTGCTGCTGTATTTGTTTTGAGGTGAGTTTTATTTCATATTGCGACGCTATTTTGCTGTTGCACTTGTTGATAGCTTCGTTTTGTGTTTTTGTATGCTGTGTGCCGATACTTGTGCTGGCAGAGCAACTTCATCATCTTCTTCACTGTCGGTCGCCATTGGTGAGACGTGTCCGTTGTTTGGCTGTGCAGCTGTGGTCAGCATATGGGTGCTGCCATTCACAGCGTACGAGTGCGCCACCTTCCGGCTCATCAATCGGTCGTATTGGCAACATTTGTTGCTGCTGTTGAAACAGTCGGTGTTGTCGCACAGCCGCCTCTATAGCAACCGCTTCAGCCTTCAACATAGCATCGTAATCGTTTACAAGCTGTGTGATGTGCGCTAATTTGGCCTGCAGGTAATCAAACCTTTGCTTTCGTTGTCGTTCCTCCACATTATCTAGCCGCTCGTATTCCAATACAATCTGTTGTTGAATATGTTGATAGGTGGGACAGTCCGGTGGCAGTTCCTTTAACTGATTTATTAATATGTGAAAGTTCCGTCGCACATATTTCACGCTCTGGAACAGCTGGCTGTATTCCTCGTAGTCACTTTCGAATTCGGCTTTGTACAAGCGACGCTGTTCAACACATGTGATTGGTGTATACGAGCTGAAGTCGAAGTGGCTTAGTGGCTCAGAATTGTCTGTCTCGGTGATAATGGAATGCTGTGCTACTGGTTTTTGAGGTTTAAATTGCTGCTGGATTCGCGGTTGTGGCTCCATGTGTTGAAAACTTTGTTGTTCTGCATGCCCATGAGCCCTTAGTGCATTACTTGTAGCGAACTGGTGTGCGATGGATTCCAGAGATGTGTATTGCTGCTGGACCCGCTTTTGTGGCTCAACGTGCTGAGAACTTTGTTGTTCTCTATGCTTATGTGATTCAATGATTTTGCTTGTGGCGGAGCTGCATGGTATGTCAGCATTGTTATTACATTTGCTTTTTCGCGTTGTTTCCTTATTTGTACTAAACTCTGACCGACTACTTTTTTGTTGTTTTTCGGCTTCAATATCAACTGTTTTATTGTCTCTGCTACCCTTTGAATTACTTGCTTTGTTTTTACTGCTGCTCTTATCGGCGCTTACTCCCTCTTCTGGCTGTTTATCGGAAACAGAATCTGAAGATTTCTTGAACTTATAGGTGTTGTTTTTTCTGTTGATTGTCGTATCACTACTCGTTTTCTCGGCTGGCTGCTGATCGGAAACGGGAGCTGCAGATTTCTTTTTGCGTTCTGCATCAGTACTCACTGTTTCGCTCCTGCTACTACTCTTTGGCTTATTTGAGCCGTTTCTCGTATCGACGTTCACAATCTCGTTTGGCTGCTTATCGGAATCAGGAGCTGAATATTTCTTAGATTTGCGGGATTTACTCTTTAGCTTATTTGAGCTGTTCTTCGTATCGACGCTCATAATCTCGGCCGACTGTACATCCGAATCAGGAGCTGAAGATATCTTAGATTTACGGGATTTCCTCTTTGGCTTATTTGAACTGCTCTTCGTATCGACGTTCACAATCTCGGTTGGCTGCTTATCGGGAACAGGAGCTGAAGATTTCTTCGATTTACTCTCGGCAGGCTGTTGATCGGAACGAGAGTTGCTGGTTTTAGCTCTCTTGCTTTCATTTTTAATGGAATTCGCGGTGATTTGTGTACCGTTGATCACTTTATTACCATCTACAGCCACTGCATTCCTGTTATATACTAAAGTCTGTTCGCCGGTTGCTCTCATGTGATTTCCCACACGCTCTTTTGTCGTTAAATGACTTATACGCTGTTTTTTGGATGGAACTGGATTGTGATAGACTTCATCAGGGCGCTTCAAATTGTTAGAACAATTTAAGTCACTATCTAAGGCCACTTGTGGTGGACTGGGCGAGTTTAAAGAATGTTGGCTCGCTGTATCCGAACTTATTGGTGGCGTCAAATCTTTAGGCTTATTTTCCTTCATCCGCTGGAGCTCTTTCTCGCTGTAGAAAGGCCAGTCTTCCTTCACCATATTCCATATGTGACGTCGCAAATTGTAAGCATTGTCGCGTAGCAGCGCTATCTCACGCAATACGGTACTAATAACTTGGCGCTCACCATCGCGTAAGCCTTTGTTTTGTAGACGAGTATAAAGCTCGAGCTTTTTATACGGCTTAACAGCCAACATTTGTATGACACGTTCCTTTATTTTACAACGAGTTATATCGAGTTGCTTGTTACACTTAGTTGTGGATCCTTTACCGCCTTTAGTGCCCGAAGCTTTTGATTTAGCATTGGCACCAGTAGAGTGATGGGATGTCACCGATTTCATCTCTTTGTCCGTTTTCTTAACCACAGCAAGTATAACATTTTCATTCGTTAGGGTGGAAGATAGATTTGCGGTAGTCTTTAGAAGTGGCAGTGATGGTAATGTATTACTCGTGCTTTCGCGCTCATGCGAGGATTTACCATTACTTTTCAACGAAGCGCTGTCATGTATTTTGTAATCAAATCTTGTATCTACATTCGTTGGTTTGCTTAGCGAACGTAAAAGATCAGTTTTGCGACTTTTAACGTCGCGCGTACTGTTACTCCTCTCTGTTGCACCGAATGCTGGCAATTCGGGGCACGCTTTTTTGTAAACATGCTTGTGCGTCACATGCTGACCCGATAAAGTCGCTACTGGTTGCTTCACTTTGCGGCCGATCTCACTTTTGTTTGAGTGAATTACTTTTGTGCATTTGCTGCGCTCCGACTCTTCCGACATAGCCATTTTAGTTCGTGTTTCAGCAAAAACATCTTCATTAGCGTGTAAACGCATCCTGTGAGTTATGGAACCGAGAATGTTGAGACCTTCGGCAGTCTGTTGCACGGCCTCCATCGATCCTTCAACGGCATCCAATGAGAACCCGAAATTGACGCCCATTTCATTGGCCAATGTGGGTATGCGTATTATACCGGAATTACCGTCTATTTGCACTTTGGGATTTTGCCCGTTTGTAAAATGATTTGTATTTGAATAATGACAATACTCCTCGATGGCACGGTAAGCTGAATCGGTCATCTTTACTCTAACATAAACCTTCGAATCGTCTTTGTTATAGTTTTGAGGCATAACATAGTCACCGGGTATAAATGTTGTTGGACAGTCTGCCATGATTCTCATATATTGGTCTAAGAAACAGTTAATTTAATTTTTTTATTACGTCTTGATATGTTGAATCACTCTGTGGTTCTACAACGTTTCGCAGCTCTTATCCTCTTTTATATGCGTTAGACATTGTGCACTACTCTACCTTGAATTATCTCATAAGGACATGCCTACCTGCGTTAGCTTTCTTCTTGTTTATGAGTGAGAGGAGATATAATTTTGCAATCAACTTTTTATATATGCTTGCGTTGATATGTTGTTGTCTTTGTCGCACATAAATCTTATAAAATGGATCCTTAAAATATGTCTTCCTAATTTTTTTGATTCAATCCTCCACTTCAATCCAACCTAAAATACTTGTATATGTCAAGTGCATGGAACGCAACAACCATCTGACCATTGAACTGCGATTATTTTCAAATTCAGAAAATCATAAAGTCTCCCTAAAGGAAAGAAACACGGCGTTCAGATTTTCATTCTTTTTTTTTTTTACGTTACCCATAAATCTCTGAAAGTGGATCAACATATCCTCATAGATCGAGGAAGCGTAGTGGTGCTTACCACACATATATTAAGGCGATTAATTTCAAATCAAAATAGTTGGGAAATGGAGGAGATAGTGACTAGATGATTCCTCCTTGCCCTCATCTATGATTTTTCTTGGGAAAATTTTCAATCAAAGAAACTACCTGCCATTAATGTGGCCTACAAACGAAGAAAACCTATGCCATGCTGTAACATTGAAAACATAATTGCTTTGAAACTTCTACGTTGTTTTCTAAAACAAAATTCTGTGCGTATCTTTTTGTATTCTTTTGTGTGATGATTGTTACTTCAAGGTAGGTGTTTCATAAAAGTCAAGAATCTGCAAATCTCGCTGTTACTTAATTAGTCAAAGGATATATAAGAGAAACAAGTAAACGTATTATCTTTGTACTTTAAAAAGAAATAGCGGTGGAAGCATTTTTTGAGTTCTACATACTTATTTTTAAAGAGATGTGACTTCAATAGACAACAGATAAATGACAAGAGTTTCTAACACAAAACACATGGCTTAACATCTTTCATCATTTTGCGCTAAATAACCTAACCTATACAGCAATGCCGAAAGAATGTTTTTACATATAATTTTCTAGAACGAAAATCTGGTGACACCTTTAACAACTGTGGTCGCAGATGATCGCTACATATTGCAAATTTTTTTAATTCCAACTACTGAGTTATTTTTGTACTAGCGGCTCTGTTAAATAGCAATTCTCAATAGTTTCAGGAATATGAGATCGTCTGCGATCCACGTGCAGTCACTGCCAGTCTAGAGATAGGCTTCACCAGTATTTTTCTTCGAAAATGATAAGCATTTGATTAGAAATAGATAGTCATTAAACATATTTTTGCACATTATATTCGGGATTGACGTTAATGATACCAACTAACGGGAAACCATTGGATTGTGTGTAAAGCGACTTTCGAGCAAGTTATATCAGAGATTATGTCAGTATTATAAGACTTACATAATAGCCATTCAGATACTCTAATTTTTAGGTTCGAAAATGAAATACCAGTTTTTTATCAAAAATTGATTGGAAATCATTGGCTTAATGTCTTCTAACGGAGTAGATATTGGAGCAACACTAGCACCCGAGTTTTAGTAAACTTCCATACGCATAGTTCTGTTACATCAATTTCATCTACAAACTTCCCTAATAAAAAGCCTTCCAAAAAATTAGCAGCAATTATCGTTGTGGGTTTTTAATCATTTCGCAACACTTTAAAAAACGGATTCCACTGGAAGTGAACTTCGGTAGCCGAAGTTGAAGGTAGGCTCGTACGTACAATATTATCGTGGGAAAATCCACAAACAAAGCAATTACTTGCCATTGTTTCTTGTGGCCTAAAAATGTAGGTTTTCTGAGCAAAAGCCACCGCTATGCTTTAACATTGAAAACATATTTGTTTTGATGCTTTTGCGTTGTTTTTTACAACGGAGTCTGGGCGGGTCTTCTAGTAATCTCTTAATTGTTTTATTTTTCTTCAATTTAATTTGCTGAATATTACATCGAGGTATCTAGGTGTTTTCTAAAAGCTAATGATCTTTGCATTTTTTTTTGAAAATTTGTTGTTATTTATTATAATTAGTTAAAGAATTTTGAATAAAAACTAGTAAACATATTTTGCAAGTTTTTTTAGAAACTCCGTTTTAAGAAAAACAATGTTGAAATTTTACGTAGTTATTTTCAAAGAGATGGAGAGGTAATAAAAAGAATTTTTAAGATAAAATGTATCTTCGCTAATTGCTTAACAAATCAGCCATTCGGTGAGTGTGGTAAAGCAATAAAGCAAACTTCTCTGAGCAATCATGAGAATGAGGAGGAGTAGCCGTCCCTTACTCTTCTGAAACTAGAACTTTCTCAATGTTAATATGGCACACTTTATTTCAATTTCGTCCTGCGAAACAGAACTTGGATGATTACTTAAAATTTACCGCCATGGTTTACAAACAAAGACATAAATTAGTACCGAGAACTAAAATTGATCTCATACAACCTGCTGCCTGAAGCAGACATTTTGAAAGTAAAAAAGGCAAAATAACCTGCTCTCTTTTTCATGTGGACGTGATCAGTAAATGGAAGCGTTTCATAAAAATAGATTCCCTCATAACTTAAATAAATAAAACAGTTACGTCAGGTATAAAAACTTTTCAACTGTCATTGCTTTACAGGTAGGCGTGAAATAAAGGGTTTTTTTAACTAAATCTTTTTGTTGTTTGATTAGGTGAATGGAGCCATTTAAGCAAACTTTTTTTTTTACTGATGAATTTGCATAACTTTCTGAAATATATATAATATTTTTGGTCTAAACAATTTACAACTAAAACAATTCAGCGACAGGTATGCAGGGGAAACACTTGCAGCAATTTAGTATAAAAGCAGATGTTACTTATGTTGGAAGACCTAACAAAAACGACATCGGAGTTTATCAGCGCAACATTTCAAATTCTAGATCAGTACCAAAATAGGCATGGCATCGAAAGCACACAAGACAAGCAAATACGCTCGTGGCGGTGGTAGTGAGTTGTTTCTAAGTGATAGGCCAAAATACGTATGCAACAGCAAGCGAGGAGGAACTTCGAAGACTGACATTGAACATGGCGAAATACCAAAAATATCGAATCGTAAAGTACGTGAACGCTTAATCCATCTGCTGGCTTTTAAGCCCTACACAAAGACGGAATTATACACAGTGCTAAAACGAGAAGGATTACAGGAGTGTGAGCGCAGAGTAATTGGGATTGTACTTAAGGATATAGCACAGCTACGCCAAAACGCATATAGTTTGCGCATCCGCATATGGAAAGAAGTTGATGAAAACTGGCCCTACTACACGAAGGAACAGCAACAGCAGCTGAAATGGCACAAAGAACAGAACTTACGACCGCTAAATAGCTCAGACGACGTTACTTCCATTTCGAGTTGCAGTCCTACATCAACATCTAACAACAGCCCACCACAACTGGACGAAAATTACCCAACACGAGAAGTTGACACATTTAAGCGCCCATGGGCGGATAGCCATGAATCACAAACGTCGAAAAAAAGAAAAACTGATAATACGATCGCTGATAAATGTACGGAAAATCAACACACCAGCTCTCAACAGTCTACAGCTCACATTTACGCTAGCACAACTAACGCAGAACTCAACAAGTTTGACCTCAGTGACTATACGGAGATCAGAAATAGGGCACAGCGTCACCAATATAAGGCTGCATTTGATCAATACTTTGAAGAATATATGCCACTCTTTCAGCAGATTGGAGAGTTGGAACGCAATTTCGGTGAACTTGGTGGACAATTTCTGCAAGCGCCCGCAAACAGTCTTGACCGCCAGCACATTACGAAGCGCATAGTGGCAACATATAACATCATTTATAGCCAGGAGGGATGTAGGCGTCAGCAGCGTCGCAACTATTTACATGCGAAACTGGCACATATCAAGCAGCTAATAATGAGCTATGATAGGAAATGTGCAGAGGAGGCAGCACTGACAATAGCTATGGAATGTCGGTGGAACGCCACCACTACTGCGGCGGTAACAATTGCGAGACCTGATGAAAATCCGATCACAAACGGCTATGGGAGAACAGAAACTCATATACAAAGCCCAGCCACAAAAAACGAAGGCGTTTCAGATTTTCAGGGCACCGATCTGCCACTCTCGGATAGCGAAAGCGATGATGACTGAAATTATATTGCTTGAATTTGTATATAGTATGCGATTAAATAAAAATGTATATTTCATAATACATTTTTCGTATATTCTTATTAAAGTGTGTTTTTTCATTGGGCATCTTCTGTTTGTTTATGGGCTCTCTTTCTATCTGATCCGAGCAGGCCGAGAACCAATTGTCGTTACAGATAAAGCCATTGCAACGCCCTCAAACTTTGCGTAAAGCAGTCTTCGAGAAACGCAGAATTTATGGCAAGACTAAGTATGGTATATTAAGTATGGAAAGCCGTGTTTGTTTATAAGTATGTATGTATGTGAGCTATTCGGCATTATGTGGGCGTGCAGTCATGCTGTATTCAACTCGTCTCGTTATTTCTATATCTATTTCGCTTAGATTTAGGTATTACAAACAAGGTAAGCAATACCCTTTTACTCCGTTGCAACTTATTGCGAGACTATAAACAGAAAACATGTATTCCCTGTTGGCTTTTTTTTGGGTCTACATTTTATCGACGAAGATTGATGCAAAAAGAAAAAAAAGGAATAAGGCATCGCAACTGCTGCCTATTTCTTTAAATATTTTCGAAACGAAGAGAGCTAATAGGTCAAATCGCTTACTCCCCGAAATGTCACTCATTTGTGGTTAAGGTTTGACTACCTGCGAGAAGCAGGTATATATTGCACAAAATTACTCACGCTTTTTTGTTTACTTTTGATAAGGACAGGTAAATAAATCAAAAGAACACGGTAGTTAATAACTATAAAAAAAATTTACAACTCGAGGAATAAATCAATGTGGTAACATAGTTTATAGCAACAAGACGTTCATTTACCACCGAAGAAAGGAAGAAATCATGATATCGACAACTAAAATTACACGCTCTACTAAAATATGCAAAAAGTCATACAGAATATGTAGCTCTAGCATCATAAAGTCGGGGAAACCGAGATATGTCGTTATTTTGCGTCGATATTACGGCCAACGGCTCATCAATTTGTTGGCCCTTAGAAGCTTTAAAAGCCACAATCTGCCACAAATTCTCACACCGTCACAGAGTTCAGACGACGACCGTTCAATATCGAGTTTGATTTCATCAGAAGGCAGCGGATCTCCAATATATCGCTTAAAACTGGCAGAAGTACATTGCCAATCTGGCAGCAGAAGGACCGTCAGAAAATTCATCCGAATTGAGCAGAGTGTTCCGCAAAGACCAGGAGACTTGTTGGAGCAGCAGCAGTCGTCACATTTCCAGCCAACAAATACACCACAAATGTCAGCAATGCAACATTTTGCCACATCCAATGTTACAGCAGCTCCACTGCCTATTTTTGATTTTACCAGTTATGCGGCTGTAACCAGTATTGAACAGCGACGCCATTACAAGGCACAATACGAACAGAGTTACGATGAGTATTATCAGCTCTTACAGCGTATTGAAAACTGCAACGCGACTACATGTTGCTTACCCATCAAATGCAACGTGTTACAGAAGACTCCGACGACTACGAACACTTAATAGAATGTATTGAGAGCGAATATCAACGCATTTATAGTGTGGAGATACTACGATCTCAGTATTTATACAGCAAACTTATACATATTCGAAAGCTCGTGACCGATTATGATTCGTCAGTGTCATCGAAACCCGTGACAGCAAGATTGGCGACAGCTGCAAAGGATTATCCACAACGGCAGCAACCTAGTTTCATATCAGCGGCTGGTTTCGGTTCCATGCGTTCTGAGAATGCAAATTGTTGCGATACTCTACGGTCACCGGCGTTGAGCCTTACTGTTGCTAACTTAAGACAATACGACAAACAAGAAGTATAAGCTAGAAATCATCTGAACTATGTGGATATAAATATTATTTCACATATCGTTTGGAATGTCGTGTCCAAAACGCGTATGGATATAATAGATTCTGGTGACGGAGAATCTACAGATACAGCTTCCATCCACAGCGAATCAAAAGATAAATAATCTATCTATAGCGAATATATAGATGAAGATTCTCTCTACAGCGAACCTACTGATATTCTAGCTACTGCGAAACCTTGCATAGATACTCTAGCGACAACGAATATATATATACTATGTATAGCGAATCTGCAGATAGAGATTCTTGCTACAGCGAAAAATACAGATTAAGACTCAAGCACTGTCGAAAAGTACTGCTATGTATTAAAAACCAAAAAAAAATAATATTTGAAATAAAAACTATAGAAACAAAAGTTAAGAGTTTGGAGAGATCTGATGACTGGATGTCTGGGATTTGATACAGTTTTTAGCCTTCATTTTGTACATAAGTAGGGCGAAGTGGCTGAAGTAGTTGTCTGTTGGTCCTGGGTTGATTGATTTCATTAGCTCAATTCTATTTTAAAGCCTCGAGACCATTCTGGTGAACCTTTATGCGAAGTAGAGTTGTCAGTCTTTAGGGAAGTTACCTTCTCTTTCTGTAGTATGCTCCTGGAAGTTGAAACTCACGCGAGGTCAGTAGGGGTCTAGTGTGCTTCTTCTGCTCGGTAAATCATACCATTTCTGTAGTAAAATATCATTTTAGAGATCAGAGGAAAGTTGAAGAGTCATATTGTATCTGAAAACCAGTTTCAAATAATGCAAATTTTGGAGCGTGGAGATTATCGACCCATTTTACTTGGAGTAGTCCAAAATTAAAGATATAGAGTTGAATTTATTTTGTAAAAAATCACTACATTTTATTTGCATTAAGTAGGTATATTACAGTTTTTCCCAGCTGGGTGTGGACCTTTTCACAAAACGGTTAAAAAAAATGCTGAAAATGCTTGAATTATGTCAAGCTGAAATAATTTTCGCTGTGGTAAATTTTTTTAAAATTCTTTTAGGTCTGTTCACTGACATTATAGCGGTATATACGAAACATACATTAAGGTGGTTCTTAAAAAATAAAATAATATAAATGTTTTCTCTATGCACGCAATCTGAAATATCACAGTTATCGTTACCAGATATCTACCAAGCGATCAAATTTTGCACCACCCTATGAAATTTTTAATTAAAATTAAATTTGAAATATTTTTTAAATATCCTAAACTGTTTGAGTTGAGATTTTTCAATAACTCAACATAATTTTTTTTTTGTTTTTGAATGCTTTAACACCACCCTAGTGAAAACATTATATGCTTATCTCCCATACAGTTGCCTGTATCATTCGTTTCCCACACAAATGGTTTGTGTTATCACATGTATACAGTGTTGTTTTTTTACATTTGAGGAGCACCCTAACAAAAATTACATCGCTGTTTGCATCTATAGTTATAAATATGTTTTTACTCTCTTTTTGCTGCCGATTTAAATCATATGAGTATTAAATAAAAGCTGACAAATAACTTTGACTTTTGCACTCAATACCGTTAATTTTGTAAAAAACGAGAATGAACAAATAAATAGCTATAAATACAAATACACAAAATACGAGTAGGTAGATATGCCGTTCATAATAGCGATAAAATGCAACAATATACGAGTATATATAATAACCTGAAATATTTTCTGCTCAGACATCTGCTCTCATATGTGTCAGTTATTATAAATCTCTCAAGAGCATGTATATTCATTTTTTAATTTAATATTTTTTTAATATATACCGTTAGTAATGGTTGGTGCGCAAATTCACCAAAATCGCGCATAAAATTTAAAAGGTGGGCAAAAGCAAGTTGATACCATGCGCTTCACTACAAGCGCACACAAACGCACACACACACTCCCAATCACACAGGTATTTCAATATACAAATTCATGTCAATAAAATTTGCCCGCTGCTCTTGAATTTTACATAAAGCGCCGGCGAAATGTTTTCTTTGGTGCGAGTTTTTTGTCAACGCGTGCTATTTATATGTTGTTGTTGTTGATTGGTGTTTGTGCTTGAAGCACTTTGTTCTGTATTGCTTTTGCCTACTGATTTTGTGATTACTTTTTTATAGACGTGAGCTGCTCACAATAAGTGTGTGTAAAAATACATGCAGAGCTATATATAGATCGGTATATGAGTGCATACGTAGGTGTGTGCATTTTTTATATGTTGTTGTGTGTGTGTGGATTTCCACACAGTTTAGTATTGGGTTATTTTCTTTAAAGCTACTATGACTTATAGCTATTTTACTTTACTTCATGCAAGCTCTTGTAATTCATAGCAATGTATGTATATATATGTACCCTGTAGGAAATTGAGTTCTGTAGCCAGCAGTAAGCAGCTAAAAACGATATTGAATGTTTTCAGTTACAGCGAAAATAGTAAAAGTAATTAAGTACGTCGATAGGAAGCTACCATATTCTACCACATTAATAATCCTGTGAAATTCGGAACATGGTTCCATTAAAAGTTAGAAGACAACTTAACGTTTGATTGAGAAACAACAGCCAGTGTTGCCATTCAAAATAATTCAATTTATTTATATGCTACAAGTCCTATATTGTTGTTGGTATTATAATAGCGATATATGGTAAAGTATTTCTCAAAAAATTGTTTGGAAGCGCTCTTGGCAAGATAAAAACCCACTTCCATTCCGCTTAAGTAGAACCGACTATAGTACAAATTACAATTCTCAAAAACTGTTGACTCTCAAGGCAAAAATTTTAAATGTATTTGTATTTCAAGTGACCGTCACATAATAAAGGATACAAACATATATTTGGTGGAAGGCTGTCTATTGCAGTCGCTTCTCAGAAACAGCTTGTTTAAGCTTCTGTAATACGACATATTCAGGGATCTACAAATTAACAGGGTATATTAAGTTTGCCACGAAGTTTGTTATACCTAGAAGAAAACTTCGGAGACCCTAAAAAATCTATAATTTATATAATAATATATTAAGCATGATGAGCTAAGTCGATTTAGCCATGTCCGTCTGTCTGTATATACGCGAACTAGTCTGAAAAAAAGCACTAAAAGGTGCCGTTTATAATTATACCTTCCCAGTCGTCCTAAGTTTGGTTAAATGGCGAATCGCTAGTTAAACATAAAGTTATATCGGCAATTTTAATGTGTTTTACCGCTATTGCTACTCAAGGTCATTAGCAAATTTATTCGTTTCCTCTGAGAGTATTTTATATCACAGTGAAACGTGCGCAATACTTAATTATGAAAAGCATTCTATTAAGAGCACTTCCCGCTGGGACATTGCACTTGATTTCTATAAAGACAAAAACACAAAAACAACAGAAAAAAAGAATTTTACAGTTGCAGCAAAACAAAAGCAAACGTATTTATTTTATACCTTTGTACGGCGGCATAAAAGCAAATATATTTGAACACCTACCAACTAATTGTATATAAATATGTGTGTATGTATATACATATGTATATGTATATGCATGTGTGTATATATGCGCGTGGCCATCAAACATGAAAATATATTTGCGCTGACATTAATGCGAAACGAAATTAAATTCGCAAAAGCAATTAAATTTGTGAGTGTACGGTTATTAGCCAAGTGCCATTGTTGGCCCTGGGATGCGGCTTTAACACAGCAGCTCTGCAGCGTTTGTTCACAACAATCAAAATGAAAGCAACAAAAAAAAAAGTGTAAAAGTAGAAAAATAACAAAGCGATAGGAAGATTGCGTAAGGTGTTGGCGGCGGACCGGTCAAATGGGGCATGACCTGCTGCTCAACCATTCAGCGCTCAAAATCAGGCGCTCAGCACACTTCAGCCATTTAACAACACAGCAAGTATAATAAAGCTCACACTGGACTGGGTGTATGTGTGTGCGTGTGTGATTCATGCTTTTAGTTTTGTTGTTGTTGTCGTTGTTTTTGCTTTTCTTACAGCTTTAGTGCTGCTGATGGCTTTATATATTAGCTGAAATCTTCGAGTTCATTACGATTTTTAATTGCGCGGCTGCGTTGTTTCTCTGCTGCATCAGCAAAAATTATTGCAGCTTCATTCATTAACGCTGTATTTTATGAGAAATTGTTTCGAATTTTAGCAAAGTTATTGGATTGCAAGAGTTGAGTGTTGGCAGAAGTCGAAAAAACACTGAAAGTAAAATTAACCGAAATTGAGGGATGAAAGAACGGAGTGAAGCAGTTGCTAAAAGCTTTTCGAATTTTTTGTAGGATTGTAGGTTGGGAGATGAAGTTGCAAGAATGGAAAGTGGTAAGGGCGTAAGAGTGATTAATTTGACTTGGTTTGGCGTGAGTCTTGTGGATTGCGCTTGATGGCGCAAATATGTTTTCAATTCTTTTTTGGTTATTTCAAGTGATGGAGCAGGTATATAATATAGCTAATCTCGCAGAAATCGATGACATGAACTTCTATTATGTGCAGAGAGTTGGAAATCGGAGGATTTGTGAAACCAAGCCTGATTGATTACAAGGTAACTATTTCTCGAATATGTCTTGTATAGTACGAACCGACATAGTTTTTCGAGTTGCCGCCATTGCAGTAATTCACGAACGAGCTAACGAGAACTATAACTGAAATCTGTGGCTACTGAAAATGCTTTGTATTTTGGCAGAACTGGATACTTGCTTTCTATGGACAAAGTGGTCTTACGATATAAGAAGCTCTCTATCAATATCTGCAATACCTAATGGGTTGGAGTCGTAGGCCTGAGCTTCGAATATGACAAAGCAAAGCCACTTGCTTGTATCTTATTATGTTAACACTGGGGACATGACTGGTCGCCCCTGCCATTTGTGTTTTGTATTTTACTGTTTGTATATGCCATGAATGATCTTGGCGAACGCACGTCGACTGGCAGTTAACGAGGTCGACGAAACTTTCATTCCATGGGTAAATAACAAGAGACCCAGTGGATTACCTTGTCAGTTGGGGATCCACGCGACGAACCCAAAATTATTTCCGGTAGCCAACTGTTAAACTTGTTGGGAAAAAAGGTGATATAAAATCTTTTTAGAAAATCCTTTTTCACCTGCCGCTTTGAGAAGCTAACGTTAAATCGTTTTGTATCTCATGGGTTTAAATCAGACTTAAGAGTTTTATCCGTGCAACAAAATACTTGCCTTTATTAGTCCAATGTAAGTTTGCATCACGGTGATTTGCCATAGCACCTAACCTAACTTATGAGATCTGTAGAACGATCAAAAGCAAGAATATTTTACTACAGTTGCAGGTAAAGATAATGGGTAACTATGATTATACGTCCCCTACATTATTACAAAAACTCTTTTGGTTATTAAAAACAGCTCAAATTTCAATATGACTACCACGGAAAGTGCCAGTTACGAGCCATGACCTTTACTGCTGCAGTTTTCTATAAAAAAATAATCCCTATTAATGAGTTGGCCGTAATAAAACGGCACTTCGTGCACGAAAGTAAATAAAAAGCAATGTAATGCCATTTCTGAAGCGACGCCTCTTTAAGTTTCTAACATTTAGCGGCTGCCGCGGACTGTTGCTGTCCAAAACGTCTCGCCTAGGCGAATTTTATTAACTGAAAAGCAATCACAAAAGTAAATAATAAATAAGGAATAGGCAAAACCGATAAAAAAAGAACCACAAATATGCGCTTACAGTTACAAACGTGGATGGAGCCAACAACAAACGAAAGGTTAACAACCGGCCCGCTGGGAGTTACACGACGTTCTACTTATATGTACTGGTATACGCTGAACGCGAGCTTACTTATATACGCACGTGGGAAGCACATTTGCGACGCGCACTCAATTTTATGTGCAATAAAATATATTTTTTACAGCGTTTGCTGAATTCTTATTTAGATTTTGGCTTTCAGGCTGTCCGACATAGAGCAAACGTTGTTTATAGACACACTCATGTCGCTTGAACTTACATATGCTCATTGCGGTAGTCCTTAAGTGGCGGATGTAAAGTTTTGAAATGGATTTCGCAGTTTTCTCAGATCTTTAAAATGAAGTGGACCATTATCACAATTTTTAAGATTTTTTAACCAACATTAAGGTGAACCAATGATATTCTTAAACAAATATTAATATCACATATCCGTTGTAGCATAGATTTGAAATGATTAGTTCCACTCACCCGAAAGTCAAAGTACAAAAGGGATCAAAATTCAGAAAATTCCACAGCGACTTAAAAAGTTTAAATTTTTCGTTCAATAT